TGTGTAGAATGGGGCAATGATGAGCGAATCTTGAGCATGATGAGCTTGTTTCCCGAGTGTGTATGTGTGTGTGTTGGTGGCACTGCAGAATGGGGCAATGATAAGTGAATTTTGAGCATGTTGAGCTTGAACTTCCCGAGTGGATGTAGTCCGTTGTTGTGAGGTGCCCACGCGTCGGTTCTGACCCTGAACGACCCCCAGAACCACAGAACCAAACAGCGCTCACTGTGGCGGTCACTGGGTCCAGCCATCTGGTTGAAGGCCTTCCTCCTCCTCGCTGACCCTGCCCTTGACCGAGCGTGATGTTCTTCTCCAGGACTGCTCTCTCCATTTGTCTGTGGAGACAAGCGGTCAGTGTGTTGTCCTGTGATGCCTGTGTGTTGCTGCGATGCTGGAAGCTATGTCACTGGTATTTCAAGGGCCAGCAGGGTCACCCAAAGGGAACAGCTTTTAGCGGAGCTTCCAGACTCAGAACAGACTATGCGGAGGGAGGGAACCAGCTGCCCACGTTGGAGACAGTAGCCGCTGAAACCTTCATGCACAGCATGTATCCCGTAGGCAGTGGAGTATATGCATTTGGTTCTTAGGAGCTAGAGGACCGAGCTGGAGACAGCCCAGCTGGGAGTCACCAGCTACACCTGGTGGCTCACCTGCAGAATGGATGAAGATTCAGCAAGCAAGAGTGTTAAGACAAAAAAAATGGCAGGAGATAGAACTTGGGATAACGTCACTGTTTTGAACGGTGGGCAGAGGAACAGGTAGGCCAACATGAAGGGCTCAAGAGGCAGGATGATGTCAGATAAAACACAAATCCAAACATGGGTAGTGTGTTAGTCTGGGTACTTCAGAGAAACAAATCCACAGAAACTCATGTATAAGAGAGAGTTTTATATAAAGGTTAAGTGCAGATCAAGAAAACATCCCAACCCAGTGCTGCCCAAGCTCACAAGTCCAACATTAACCCATATGTCTGACACCAATCCACAAAGTCCTCCTCCATCTCACAAAACACACACTATGATGCCAACTGCAGGAGGAAAGCCAAGTCAGTGAATGTATAAGCATCTCAGCGCTGGCAGGGGTCTCCACAAGGCTGCTCCAGCACCCAGGGCTGCATCAGGGTAGGTCCATGTGGCTTTTCCTTTGGGATGTCTTGCAGGAAGTGAGCCTTGCCAGCTGAATCAGGGGACTGGCTAAGGCAGCTGCACCCTGTTCCGACCATCACAAAGCAGGAGACCCGAGAACTCGAAAGACCTCAAAAGGCGAGGCTTACTGAGCCATTTATCCCCCTACCCTTCAATTAATCCCACATGTGTTTATCAGCCAGTTTGGCACAATCAACTTTAACTAACTCAGGTAGGGAGAAACTTTATTCAGAAAGACGAGAAGGGAGTATATTAGAAGTGAGGGAGGGGTACCACCTTAATAGAGAGAGCACTCCGTCTAAGCAGAGATATGCAAGCATCTCACAGAACTAGGGAAAGGAGTGTTTTATTTTATAGCAGTGGTTCTCAACCTTCCTAATGCCTCGACCCTTTAATACACTTCCTCATGTTGTGGTGATCCCCCAACCATAAAATTATTTTCATTGCTACTTCATAACTGTCATTTAGCTACTGTTATGAATTGAGCAACCCCTGTGAAAGTGTCGTTCGACCCCCCAAAGGGGTGGCGACCCTACAGGTTGAGAACCGCTGTTTTATAGAGACCAGGAATAAACAAGGCTAGGCCAAACCCAGGTGTGGGGAAGTGGGAAGAGTGGGTGACCTCATCACTATCTCTGAATATTTTCCATGGAGGTCAGGCTGGGAGGGGTCTTTAAAGAGGTAGGACATTGGTTCAAGTTCAGGGACTTGAGGAAAGGAGAGAAGGCTAACCACAGTTTGGTTAACAAGCACTATGTTTCTGATTGATCAGTGGGGAAAAAGATTCAGTTATTAATTTCTGAGCAGAGAAATGGGAGCCTGGCCTTGTCATGGGCTAGGGGCCATCCATGAATTTGATCTAAGCCATATGGGAGGAGGAAGCTATTTGCCTGAACACAGAGGGTGGGGGATCTCTCTACCCATGGCTGTTCCCTAGTATCACAGACCTCAGGTAAAATTCCACAGGAGGCCCACCGATCAACAAAATCATGGCAGCTGAGAGAGGAGAGGGTTCCAGCAGTCTGAGAGCTGACCCTTGTGTTTAGCAACATGGAGGTCACAGGGAACCTTCAGGTTGGGTAGAGTAGTAAGGACAAAAGGCTGCAAGATGAGGGACCCGTTCCGTTCCCTCCACCCCAAGACAGGTACATTTTGTACATGATCCATGGCATAAATTCAGCTCTTTGGCAATTGCCTCTTGTAAACAGGTAAATTGAACAAATGAATACCATTTGCAAATTAGATGATGAATTATGGCAGTTTTTCTTTGAATAATTTTTGGAGAGAGATATTAAATTACTCCCAATGGCACTTGGTAAAAGGTTTTCTCAATTTTTTATTTTGAAAACATTTCAAGCCTACAAGTAAGTTTTATGAATAGCATTGTGTTAGTCTGGGTCGACTAGAGAAACAAATCCATAGACACTCATATGTGTATAAGAAAGAGCTTTATAGCAAAGAGCAATTGTAAATGAAGAAAACATCCCAGCCTAGTCCAGATTAAGCCCATAAATCTGCTATTAACCCATATGTCTGATGCCAATCTATAAATTCCTCTTCAAACTCACATGCAATAATGCCGAATGCAGGAAGATCACAGGCCAGTGGGTGGAAAGTCTTGTGGATCCAGTGGAGGTGTAAGTATCTCAGTGCTGGTGTGGGTCTCCACGTGGCTCCTCTAGCTCCAGGACTCTAGCATAGCTCCATGTGCCTTGTCATCAGGAATACCAAACAGAGAGTCTGTGTGTCCTGCCTCCAGCGAGCTATTTATCTCTGTAGTGCCTCCAAATGAGGTCATCAAGCTGGGACCTGATTGACAGGCTAAACTCCACCCATTCACTCTTTTTTTTTTCTTTTCCCCTTCACTCTTAATAGTCTCAAATTGGCACCAGATTATGGAACTACCACAAGCATGATAAACACCGGGATAGTCTTCACCTGAATTCACCAACTGAGAACATTTTGCCATCGTCTGTTCTTTTACACATGTGCCCTCATGCATGTCTCTCTCTCTCTGTCTTACACACACACACACACACACACACACACACACACACACACACACACTTTCTGTACCTTTTCAAAGTTAGTTGCAGATGACACGTTTATCTCTAAATGCTTCACATGTCACTGAACTACAAGGACATTCCCCTCCGTAACCACAGTAAATTCACTGCCATCTAGTCAATTCCAACCCAGAGCTCCCGTATAGGACCCGAGAACTGTCCCACAGGGTTTCCAAGGCTGTAACAGTTTGGGAGCAGATTGCCACATCTTTCTCCTCGGGAGTGCCTGGAAGGTCTGCACTGCCTACCTTCTGGCTGCTCTATAACCACACCACAATGTTCAAACCCTGGGATTTAACCATGCACAAAACTTTATCTAATGGACAGCCCATATGCAAATCCCCTCTAATGTCCAGAACTTTCCTTTATAGCTGTGTCTTTTTTGGCCCAGGATATGTTCAGGGCTCTCCCATTGCATTTGGTGGCCATGTCTCTTAGTCTAAAACAGTGGTTTTCAAGCTCCCTTATGCCACGACCCTTTCATACGGCTCCTCGTGTTGTGGTGACTCCCAAACCATAAAATTATTTTTGTTGCTACTTCTTTTTTTTTTGAGTAATAATCTGTAAGCTGGCATGATACGCTACACAGCACTTTCTTTTTAAAATCATTTTATTAGGGGCTCATATGACTCTTATTACAATCCATACATACATCAATTGTGTAAAGCACATTTGTACATTCATTGCCCTCATCATTCTCAAAACATTTCCTCTCCACTTAAGCCCCCAGCATCAGGTCCTCATTTTTCCCCTCCCTCCCTCCTCCCCCCTCCCTCATGAGCCCTTGATAATTTATAAATTATTATTTTGTCATATCTTGCCCTGTCCGACGTCTCCCTTCACCCACTTTTCTGTTGTCCGTCCCCCAGGGAGGAGGTCACATGCAGATCTTTGTAATCGGTTCCCTCTTTCCAACCTACTCTCCCTCCACCCTCCCTGTATCGCCACTCACACCACTGGTCCTGAAGGGATCATCCGCCCTGGATTCCGTGTTTCCAGTTCCTATATATTTTGGTTAACGTTGAGTTCTAAAATTGATTGTAGTAATGATTGTACAACTCAAATATGATTGAACGATTGAATTGTATCCTATGTGGAAGAAGTGCCAATGAAACTTAAAATAAACAAGGGAAAAAAGGGAGATCAAAGGATAAGGGTTACATTTTAGCCTACCTCCAGCTGCCAGAATCCACTTTATGGTGCTTGCTGTTTGATAGTAAGGCTATTTATATTCCTGGGCTACAGTCAGACTTCATCCCTGAAAGACCTGGCAAATGGATTTGGCACTTCCACTCTCATCTTTAGTGCTCTTCTACCGTTCCTTCCCCCTGAGCTTGGATTTTATTATTTACAATCCTTGGATCACATCGGCTGGTGTGCTTCTTCCATACGGATTTCACTGACTCCTCTCCTCACTTTGGCGGCTGCTTGTTTTAAGACAAACCTTTAAGACCCCAGATACTATTCTCTCTGATAGCTGAGCACCACCTGATTTCTTCACCACTCTTTGCTATCACCCCCATATATCTTCAGAGATCTCCTCATGGGGGCGAGTCTTGAGTAGGTCCATGTCTTAAGAACTAATTGCTTTTATGTAAGCATTCATTCAAAATCCATTCATATAGCTACAGATTATATATGCCCCCGGTTTGCTTTAGGGGCATCATGATCGTTTTCGTTCAGTGCTTTTTCTTTTTTTAAAATGGCATTTTCTTCATCTCTTTCCAATGTGTGAAGCTAGGCGTAATTAAAAAAAATTCCAATATGATTATTTTCAAATACCCAGCAGGCCAATTATTGCTCAGTGACTCTTCTCATCACCTGACGATGGAGGCAGTGGGCTATTTGTACAGGTCCCTCGACTTAAGGACCACCTACCTGGGAGCGTCACATCCATCAATCCCCGGAATCGTGAAGTGAGTTTTTGTTTCCTGTCTCACATTGAGATATGGTCAATCATGCTCTGTATTTGACCTCTTGATACCTTTTGACCTTTCACAGCCTTCTCAAGGAAATCGAGCGGCCCCAGGGCAGGAGATACTGCCTTCCAGGCATATGCCAGCAATCCCCGGAGGGGTCCAGGAAAGGCAGCCCCCTGGGAAAGAACGTGCGGAAATTGACCTACCACAGCTCTCAGAGTTCCCGCACGGTGAGCTCTGCTTTGTGCCTGGATGCAGATCAGCTCCAGAGTGCTAAAAGCGCAGACATTGCCCTGCACCCGATTTTGGATGCATCTAAATGCATTTCTGGAAAAGAGAACAAGAACTTGAGACCCATTACTTGCATCCCCGTGAGGAAAAAGACCCGCCCGAAGACGCAAAATCATGTTGAACTATGGAACGGTCCCGAAAAAGAGACGTCGAAGAAAAAGAAACCCCTTTCCTCTAAGATTTTAGCGCTGGGTGAAATGAACAGCATAGCCAAGCTCTCCAGGCAAAGAGTGACTTCAACGACGGGCGGGAGCGGAACAGAGCAGATCACCACCATTTACCAGCACCCGCTGGTAGAGGCGCTCTGCTCCGGGAAGTCCCTGGATTCCATAGCTGAGCTCATATCAGAAAAGTGGCTTTTCCACAGCCCAGATTACAGTTTAACTCCTCAGAAGTATTTTTGGCAGAGGAAACCTCAAATGGATACAAAATTGTATCAGTCCCCAAGTAATACCAATAAAGAATGAAAACAATAATGAGCCCTTATAAATCTATGGTTTTTGGTTCCCCCCCTAACTCCCCCAATCTTGCTCTTTGCTTCAGATTCTCAACCTTCCTAATGCAGGTCCTCATGTTGTGGTGAGCCCCCCTACCCCAACCATAAAATTATTTTTGTTGCTACTTCATAACTGTCATTTTGCTACTGTTATGAATCGGGCCACCCTTGTGAAAGGGTTGTTCAACCCTCAAAGGGGTTGCGACCCACAGGTTGAGAACCACTGTTGAGAACCTTTCGATTGGATATTTCACACAGAACTGGTCATCGTCAAGGTGGCATAGTGGTTATGCATTGGGCTGCTAGTGGATAGGTCAGCCTTTCGAAACCTCCAGCTGCTCAGAGAGATGAGGCAGTCTTGGAAACTCACAGGGGGCAGTTGCATTCTGTCCTATAAGGGGCACTGTGAGTCGTCATCCACGGGAAGGCAGTGAGTTGTTTTTGTTTTTTTTTTAGTTTAGGAATTTGATGTTGTGGTCTCTTAAAACATTATAATGGATGTTAACTAAAAAGCAAATTTTCCATCAGTCACCTTTGGGAGGGAGATTAAGCAATGTTGATTCGACAGAGTGTCATTTCTAGAAACGGAGCACTGGTGGCAGAGTGGGTGACCTGGTGTGTAATAGAGCACAACTGTCCCATAGGGTTTTCCCGATGGTAATCGAACAAACTCACAGCAAACCATGTGCTCACCATGAGTCCCAGTCAACTTGATGGTCCCAGGTTCAGTTAGTTATTTGGTTAATTTTCCAGAAATAGATATCCAGGTCTTCTGTAGCATGGCTGGGCAGGTTTGAACCACCAATCTTCAGGTGAGCAGTCAAGTAAGTGCAAACTTTGCCTTGGCCCATGAGTTAAAACATTTGCTAATGCCTTGGGTTATTTACGCCCCTATCTATTTGACATATGGTTTGAGAGAGATTTCTGTGCCCCACCCAGCCTCTATCCAGCACCTACACAAAGGTAATCTGGGGCACCCAGGTATGACCTCACAGTCCTAGCCGCCCCCATATTCGCATCTGGGTTCTGGGTGGCCCGTGCAGGCTTTCCTATGAGAGCTGACTCGGTTGACTCTTATGTAGAAATGTGTGTGGTGGGTCTGCTGATCTGGTTTTGGTGAGACCACAGGTACCAAATGGCTGCAGCCCAGCTGGTCTGAGAGAAGGGGGAAGAGAATGTTCTGCTGGACAGAGGACCTCCAGTTTACCCTTCATATTAATTTGGGTCCCATGGGGCCGGTATATGACAGCTGACAGTAGGAATCCACGAGTCATTTGCTGTTAAATGTTTTGCCCTCTGACCTTGAAGCTAGACCTGGGTCACCTTTCTCAATCCCTGGCAGTAGTAGAGAGCAAACGGAGGGAATGAACACTTGCCCCTCTTCTTCCTGTCCCCGGTTCCTTTATAAAAGGGATTGAAGGGCAACGGGTGCGGGGCAGCTCTGTGCCTTCAATCAATCCCCAGAGACCAGGGCTACCCCCCCAGAATTCAGGCCTGGCCATGGCCCACACATAGAGATGGATCCAAGCGGGGTCCGGGCACGTTCCAGACTGGCGCTGGAGATACGGAGAGCTCCAGGCTACAGGGAGAGGTCACCTCCCGGAGGCTGGGTCACAGACTGCGGGGCAGAGGGGCGACAGTCGCAGATTGCAGTGTGGCAGAGATCCGCTGACATCACAGAGATGGCGTTTCGGGACCCAAGGCGGGCGACGAGCCGTCCCACTACGCGCGGTCCTGGCTGTGCGCACGATCGCCGCCAGCGTGGCAGGGTCTGGAGTGACAGCAACGAGGGTTGCG